TTCCTTATTGCCTAGTATTCCTGGGGAAAAAATGCTATTTAAAAAAAGGAAAGTCTGGCCCGCTGATGGGGCCTGAGGCGGTGGTGCTGGGTGGGCTGTCAAAGGCCAGGAACAGTACACTGCTTTAGAAGCTGTTCCAAGAGCATGGCAGCATGTTTGGCTTCAGCATGTCCAGGAGGTGATGCTGGGGGACACAGCCACTGGCGACATCATGCAGTACTCCTGGCTCTCAGGGAGCCTGTTGGGGATGCAGCAGGCGGCTGTGCAGGCCATGAACTGCACCTGCATGCTGGACAGAAATCTGTGGGCCATCTACAGCTTGGTGCCACCACCCTCACTGGACATCCTGGAGCAGCGGTGGTGGCAGCACAACACCAAAACCCAGGAAAGTGGGGCAAAGTGTCTGGCTGCTGCCTGGACCAACACAAAGAGCAGCAAGGAACCCAGCCTGTTTGACCCAGACATCACCAATAACAACCTGGACAACACCAACATGGCGCTGAAGGAGGTGCTCTCCAAGGAAATCAAGAAAGCTCGAGGGACTGGTGCACCTGAGGAGGCCTGCTCTCCATTCCACCAGATGCCTCCTCAGCCCCATCCCTCCCCAGTCTCTGGGCAGGGCCTGGATAGGGCACCCAGGACTCATGCAGGACCGGGGTGGGTGCCTACTAATGGGTGCATGGAGCCTCCCCTTGGCTGGCCACATGGTGGCTCCGCACCCTCAGCTGGCACTTGGGGTAGGAGGGCGTGATGTCTGCCTGCCACAGTTCAAGGACCTTGCGGCAGCCCCCCATCTGCCTTCCCTGGCTGTCCCATCACTATCCCTCCTGCTGGGGCTGGGCTAACATTGTAATAAAATAACTGTTGGGTTATTAAAAAAAAGGGGGGGGGGAGTCTAAAACAGTGCTTAGTTATCTCTGGGCTTTCTAGATTACAAGCGGACTTTTTTCTGTTCCTTTGTTGTGACAATTTACAAATTCCTATAGTTATAAGAAAAAAAATTAAAGCCCCCTCCGCCCTTTGATCCCTGTACCAGCCATCCACAAAAAAAAGAAAAAAATAAAGCCCTCCCACCCCGGCCAGGGAGGGGAGATCAAACAAGGAATACAGAATTAATAATCTCTGCCTGAAGAGTAAGTTAATAGAATGCTAGAGCATAGTTAAACTTTAGTTGACAGAATAAAAAAGAAATGAGAGCATTAAATCATATCTGGCCCAACATCTTAAAATGAAGCTATAATCTACATTAGGGTACACAACTTTTTAGTTGCAGCAGTTACTATGCAAGTCAAATTTAGGACTACTTAAATCACCCGACAAGGACAGCAGTAAATTAGTGTAGGTTTACTAGCAACGGGCAGTGTGGAGAATAACGGTTTCCATGAAGA